GACAAATTTTGAAAAAATGACAGAAATCAAGTATGACTGGGTCAATAGCACGAATAAATCCCAAAGTAAAGGGATAGGTGTAAACGAAAGAAAAGCCAACCCTATAAGAAGATATTCTTTGATGTGGGGTAGGGATAACTATGTGGGTGTCATCTCTCCAACGGCAATCTCTTCGAACAATCTGAATTAAAGGTTCAGTAATTAAAGAGGGATATTTATCAACTCTCTCTAATTTAATCAGTTGGTCACGAAGGGATTCTTTGTCGTGTTCGAAAGATAAATCTGATGGCACAATTTCTTCAACCAGAGGCTCTTGGTTAGACTCAGAAGGTTCTTTAACCTTAGAAGAGGATCTGTTAGAAAGAGAGCCTCTAGAGATATTGCCAGAACTAGAAGAAAGAGCGATGGAACCAGAGGTGCCACCACGAACCGACCCTGTACCCCGAAGCGTACCTCCTCTACCTCTTCTGTGTCTAGCAGGAGCATTGGGGAAGCTATCAAGAATTGGGACTCTTTTAGGGTTAGGGTTTGAAGACGGCATAGTGAGAAGATAAGAACAAAAGGAATGAATTGAAGAAGAAGTGAATGAGAGTAAATAGCAAGAAATTTGGTAAAAGCTTGTGAAGAAGAAGACAAAGGAAAAAGGGGGTAAGTTTATATATAAACTTAATCGTCAATAATTAAGAAGTGTAATGATGAAAAGCCTATAATAAAGGCAACTATCACTTCGTGAAATAGCAAGAAATTTGGTAAAAAGCTTGTGAAGAAGAAGACAAAGGAAAAAGGGGGTAAGTTTATATATAAACTTAATCGTCGATAATTAAGAAGTGTAATGATGAAAAGCCTATAATAAAGGCAACTATCACTTCGTGAATAGTGGAGTTAAAAAAGCCTTAGAAAAAGGCTGCAAAATCGCAGAACTAATGAGAGTTTGACACGTATATGGTGACGTTAAATAAAGGGACAATTGAAAGTGTCGATACTGTCATAGCATTGATTATGGTAAAAAATTCCCGTTTTTTTTAATGTAAAGATCCACTTCCCAAATATTTAATTAGTAAATAAATGGTAAAGTGGTGGACTATCTGTATTGGGANCTGCCCACAAACTTTATGTTCAAGTTCCACTGGCAAGTGGCAGGCCTTCCCGAACACCAATTTATATGGTGACTTACCAATTGGTGTTTTAAAAGCAGTTCTATAAGCCCAGAGTGCATCATCTAGCTTTTTCGCCCAATCAGTTCTTGTGGCGTTTACTGTCTTGGTCAATACACTCTTTATCTCTCTATTAGACACTTCCACCTGTCCACTTGTCTGCGGATGATTTGGTGTTGCCACCTTGTGACGCACATCATACTTTGCTAGCAACTTCTCAAATTCTCGATTACAGAAGTGGGTGCCTCCGTCACTGATAATAGCTCTCGGTGTCCCAAAACGGGTGAATATGTTCTTCTTCAAAAATCCCACCACTACTCTTGCATCATTAGTGGGAAATGCTGCAGCTTCTACCCATTTGGACACATAATCTACAGCAACAAGTATGTACTTATTGCCAAAGGAGCTGACGAAGGGGCCCATGAAGTCAATCCGCCAGACATCAAACATTTCCACCTCTTGAATCGGGTTCATGGGCATCTCATGGCGACGGGAAATGTTCCCGATTCGCTGACATTCATTGCAACTCTTCACCCATTGGTGTGCATCTTTAAACACTGTTGGCCAAAAGAACCCGGCCTCTAGCACTTTTGCAGCTGTCCTGACTCCTCCAAAATGTCCTCCATATGCCGATGCATGACATGCCTGCAAAACAGAAGATTGTTCTATCTCGGGGACACACCTCCGGATCATATTATCAACACATATTCGAAACAGATAAGGTTCATCCCAATAATACATGCGACAGTCACGATGAACAGAGGAAAGATCATAAGGAACTATACCGCAAGCCAGGTAGTTTGCAAAGTCTGCATACCATGGCACTTCCTCAAGACTTGTGGCGAGCAGTTGCTCGTCTGGAAAGGTTTCCAGAATGTCTTCAACCTCATTTGAATTTTCAGCTCCCTCAAGTCGTGATAGATGATCAGCGACTTGATTTTCTGTGCCCTTACGGTCACGAATTTCGAGGTCGAACTCTTGGAGTAACAGCACCCAACGAATTAGGCGCGGTTTAGATTCCTTCTTCTCAATCAAGTACCTGAGAGCTGCATGGTCAGTGTATACAATTACCTTAGAGCCGATCAGGTATGATCTGAATTTATCGAAAGCAAACACCACAACTAACATCTCCTTCTCCGTTACAGTATAGTTCAGCTGGGCTCCACTCAGCGTTCTACTTGCATAGTAGATTGGATGCATTAGTTTGTCTCTCCGCTGTCCCAGCACTGCCCCCACTGTGTAGTCACTAGCATCACACATGAGTTCAAATGGCTGCTCCCAGTCGGGGTCAACAATGATGGGTGTTGTGACCAGCCTCTTTTTCAGCTCCTCGAATGCTACCCTGCAATCATCAGAAAACAAGAAGGGGTGATCTTTTTCTAACAACTTACAGAGGGGGTTGGCAATTTTTGAAAAGTCTCTTATGAATCTCCGGTAAAAACCGGCATGCCCGAGGAAGCTCCTGACTGCCTTGACTGAAGTTGGAGGGGGCAGCTTTGCTATCATATCCACTTTAGCCCGATCCACCTCATTTCCTTTGCTTGACACCCGGTGCCCCAAGACTATGCCCTCTTGTACTATGAAATGACACTTCTCCCAATTAAGAACCAGGTTAGTTTCAATACACCGTTTCAGCACACGAGACAGATTTATAAGGCACTCATCAAATGAGTTCCCCACCACTGAGAAATCATCCATGAATACCTCCATTATGTCCTCTACCATGTCGGTGAATATGGCCATCATGCACCTTTGGAATGTGGCGGGTGCGTTGCATAGGCCAAATGGCATCCTCCGAAAGGCATAAATGCCATAAGGGCAAGTGAAGGAGGTCTTTTCTCTGTCCTCAGGTGCAATGGAGATCTGATTGTACCCTGAGTACCCATCCAGAAAACAGAAGTGTGACCTCCCTGCCAATCTGTCTAACATTTGATCAATGAAGGGAAGTGAGAAGTGGTCTTTCCGGGTAGCTAGATTTAACTTTCTATAATCCATGCAAATTCTCCAGCCCATGACGGTTCGTGTTGAGATCAGTTCATTGTTATCGTTTTTGATCACCGTCATGCCACCTTTCTTAGGCACACACTGCACTGGGCTAACCCAGCTACTGTTAGGGGTGTTCATGGTCGGTTTGGATCGATTTTTCCCTAAAAAATGCTAAACCAAGTAAGTCGATTTTTCAAATATTAGAACCAAACCAAACCAATTAAGTCGGTTTTTCTCGATTCAGTTTATGTCGGTTTTTCGGTTTTTTCGGTTATTTGTCGGTTTTTTCTTAAATATAAGACATACACTACCAAACATAATTATTCTGGCGATCACATTTTCAATGTAACACTATCAAATCAATTGCCCTTTGAGAAATCTATTGTTTAATCAAATAGTGATGAATAATTTAAGGACTCAATTAAAAATATTTTATTTTTAACACGGAATGGATTCTTACACTAAACAAAAGAAAACTACCAATCAAACTAGAATGTAAAGGTAAAGAACTATATTAAATATGCAAACTATTAACATTTACCATAAATTTTTTGAAACTTTGTATAACAATATACATATATATAGGTGTAATAATAAATTTGAAATAGCTACTCCTATAATCGGCTTGGTTCGGTTTTTTTCTGACTAAAACCAAAACCAAACCAAATTTGATCGGTTTTTAAAATTCAAAACCAAAACCAATCCAAACCAAAAAGTATCGGTTTTTTTGGCCGGTTTGGTTTGGTTTTCGGTTTGGTTCGATTTTTCGGGTTTTTATGAACACCCCTAGCTGCTGTCAGATATTGGGAAAATGATTCTCGTATCTAGCCACTTTATTACTTCTTTCTTCACCACTTCCTTCATATTGGGATTCAGCCTTCTTTGATGTTCCCTGGAAGGTTTGTGTCCCTCTTCCAGCAGAATTTTATGCATACAGTAGGCGGGGCTGATCCCCTTAATGTCTGCCATGGTCCACCCAATGGCAGTCTTGCACTCCTTGAGTACCTGTAAGAGTTGTTGTGCCTGCACATATAACAAACTGGATGAGATAATAACAGGTAATGTGGAGTCAGGTCCAAGGAACTCATACCTGAGATGGGCTGGCAATGGCTTCAATTCCAGCTTTGGTTGTATTGGGAAAAAACTGAATTCATATTGAAGGTGACGTGGCATGACACGTGGATCAGTCAAATAGTCAAAGCAGGATGGTCAGTTAAGAGGCACGGGCGATATCAGATACGAGGAGAAGAAAGTTAAATAGGCACGAGAAGCTATTCAAAAGATACGAGTCTCGTATCTATTTAACTTAATTAAAGTCAGGAGGGTCAGAAGGAATTGAAGATATGAATCTGAGGGCATAAAGGAGTCTAAATTCAGTATTAAATGACAAATACGTTAGAGAATCAATATTGATTCTGAATGATTGTGTAACGTTTCATTTAATGTTATTTAATGCTCATAATTGCCTCTTTAAGGCTAAGGTGTTATACCTTTTCCTAGGAAAGACAACTATAAAAGGAGGAGGTCTCATCATTTGTAAGGACACGAAATATCATTGTGATTACATTGGAATACAAACTTATTTACTGCATTTATTATCCACAAAAAATTTCTTATTCTTTTCGTCTCCTGATTATCAATAACCCGATTTTTTCTCTTAAATTCTATTTTTAACCGAAATTCTATTTTTTGGTTAAACATTAAACATTTCATAAGATTTGTATGGTTATGAAAGCTTCTAAAAATAGGAAAAACAAAAAGTTTAAAGTTAAATAATAAAACGAACTAAAAAAAAATGTGTGTCACATAATTATTGAATATCGTTATCGATCTTAATAAGTTAGTTGGTCCTGATTGTAGGGAAGAGTTTGTGCACTTTGCAAAAACATGTTTTAAGAGTTTTGGGGATAGAGTGAAGTATTGGGTCACAATAAATGAGCCTAATTTATTCGCGGAACTTGCCTATATGAAAGGTATATTCCCACCTTCACATTGTTCGCCCCCTTTCGGGAAATGTTCCTCTGGTAATTCAGACACTGAGCCTCTACTAATCATCCACAACTCAATATTGGCTCATGCCAAGGCTGTCAAACTCTATCGTCACCATTTCCAGGCAAGTCTATTCACGTTTCGTTTCATTTTCAAACTCCAATTATTTCAAGCTATAATTTCTCGATCTCTTACTATTTTGAGAATAAAAAGCTGTCATGTCAGTCGCATGCATGTTACCTTATTATTTTAATTTTGAAACGTTCAAATGAAAGATTTGAAAATAAGTGGTACTAGTAATTAATTAGTCCAATTATTATGTATATTAGCAGGTAGGACAAGGTGGAATGATAGGAATGGTGGCGAGCGCTTACATGTATAAGCCAATTACGGATGATGAGGCTGACATTAAAGCTGCAGCTAGGGCTTTGACTTTTCATGTGGCTTGGTACGTAAGTATTACACCAAAGTCCAAACATACAAAAATATTATGTACGCCTGAAGTTTACAACAAATCATATAAATTTATGGAGATTAAGGATAAATTAAAATGGAATTACACATTATTAACAATAGTTTAGTGATATAAATATGTGTGTAGAAGACAAATATATACATATATTTCATTAATCGATTTATTATTACAAAATTCTCCAAAGATAAGCTCAATTACATTGGATGTCGTACTAGTTCTGAATGCATAATCCCTCAAAATTTCAACAGCTTGCCATCTTATAATTGAGAAAAGGGCTCGACTAGTGTTGTGTTCCTAATTAAAGAGTGACGAATGTAGTATACATAACTTGTAAGAATAATATGACTGCATCCACATTGTCACAAATATTCTTTTTTTATTCCAAAATTTTCTTTTTATATAGTTCATAACATTTTTCTCCTCGAACCCATAAGTTCCTATATATATATTTTGAGTCTAACCCATGAGGATCTAGATGAACTTCTAGAATACTATAAATCTTCTACCAATAGAAAGTTGTAACTTTTGTTTTAACTCTAAAACACCAAATCTTATATAAGGTTCAAATAATATATACTTATTAGCTTTGATAATATATGGAACTGATAGACAAATCATGTGACATATCTGTTTCAAAACAAAAATTGTGTAAATCAGATTAGGTGAAGAAAGCCAAATTGCATATATATGTTAATTAGTTGCATTCGGACGTGTCAAGTTGCATTTATCAATTATTGATTTCGATATTTTTAAATGAACAGGCTTCTTGATCCTCTAGTATATGGTGATTATCCTACAGAAATGCGAGAGTATCACGGGAAGAAATTACCAAAATTCAGCCCTGAAGAAAGCAAGCTTATAAAGAATAGCATTGACTTCATAGGGCTTAACCATTATTCCACTTTGTTGGTGAAGGATTGTCTTCTTTCCAATTGCACATGCAATATGAATGACAATAATAATCCAACTTGTAGCCATGGTGAAAATCGTGCCATCCTTGGGTTTTTGCTCACTGCTGGACAGAACGAAGATGGTGCTTTCGTAGGAGATCCGGTATATTTTTGCACACGCCTTTATTTAAAGGGAAAATGTCCAAATTTACCTCTATATTATACGAAGTATCTCAATTTTACCACCCCGTTAATTATACATGGGTCTCTTTATGTCTTTACCTTTAGCAAATCATGTCGTATTTGCTCTTAATTTTAACGAAGTTCTAGTGCTGATTAGGTTGATACTTATAACGTCGATGTTCAAATATACCCCTTGTTATACATAAGGTTGGAGCTATGTTAGGATGAAGGGTAAGTATGCAATGAATTGCTAGCAAACATATGAATAACCCAAAACAAAAGTATAACCAAGGATAATTTTGAAAATATTTCGTATAGTAAAGGGGTATTTATGAACCTTTTTCTTATTTAAATTCTTATTATGATATGGTGACAATAACTCTAAACTTACACCAACTGACTTTTTAGATGGGAATGCCTGGATTATATGTGGTTCCACAAGGCATAGAAGAGATTGTGGATTATATTAAGAAGAGATACAATAACATGCCAATATTTGTGACTGAAAATGGTAAATATTCTCCTTAATTAAACTCGTAGAATTTCTCACCGATTTCTCATGTTCGAGTGTAGATTCTACATAATTGAACGTAAATTGTGATTACTTCATGCAGGGTACGCTTCAATTGACAAGCAAGAAGAAGGATATGAGTTGGTCAAAGACATTAAGCGAATTAAATATCACAAAGCATACCTTGCATCTTTGGCTCGATCAATCAGGTATACTTTAATTTCTATTCTAAGAATTTCTACCATCCCTTGTCCATATTATCTACTCTCTTTTAAAGCTAGCTCTAACATACGATCTCTTAAGAAAGATATTTTATTTCTAATAATAATAAGAGTAGTTATTACAACTATTCTTTGGGTGTGTTTGGTATAACGAAAAATGTTTATTAAAATTAATGTAAATGATGAACCCTAACACTGGGGAGAGGATTGAACAATTGAATCTAGAGAGAGAAATATTGGAGGAGAGAAATGAAACTATATTTTCTATTATCTCAATTGTACATTGTATTCTCATACACAGATATATATAGCTTTGCCAACTAATCAACCACTTAAACTAATTAACTGATTCTAGAAGATTCTACACTACTATGTACATTCCCATTCTCATTACTCCCCCTCAAGCTAGGTAGTGCAAAAATATTCAGCACACCTAGCTTGCCCATAAGATATTCATGCTGCTGTCTTCCTAACCCTTTTGTCAGAATATTAGCTTCTTGATCTCTAGTTCCCACATGTTCTGTTTTTATCAAGCCTTCCTGAATCTTCTGTCTAATAAAACGACAATCTATTTCTATGTGTTTCGTTCTCTCACGGAATACCGGATTGGCTGCAATTTGCAAAGCAGCCTTACTATCACTGTACACCTTAACTGGTAAATCTACTTCTTCCCAGCTCCCTTAGTAATGTTGTCAGCCACACTACTTCTGATACTGCACTTGCCATACTTCTATATTCAGCCTCAGCTGAACTTCTTGACACTGTGTTCTGCTTCTTTGACTTCCATGAGATCAAAGAACTTCCATACTTTACCAAAAAACCTGATACTGATTTCCTTATATTGGGACATGAAGCCCAGTCTGCATCACAGTACACACTTAACATGTTGCTGCTCCTGCTACTTAGTAGAATCCCCATTCCTGGCACTCTTTTGATGTATCTTTCATTGCTGCATCCAATGAGACTTCTTAGGACTTTGTAGAAACTGACTCAATGTTTGTACTGAAAATGCTATATCTGGCCTTGTCAATGTCAGATACAATAACTTTCCAATGAGTCTTTGATATTGTCCACTGTCAGCCAGTAGATTATCATCCTCAGCTCTTGTCAGTTTATCAAGCTCTGGCACTGTTAGTTTTACATTTGGCTCTAGAGGGGTCCATGCTGGTCTAGCTCCTGTAATCCCTAACTGAGAGATTATCTCCAAAGCATATTTTCTTTGGTTTATCAGTATACCTTTCATTGATCTACTGAATTTCATTCCAAGAAAAAACGTCAACTCAACCATGTCTTTGATCTTGAATGCTTGGTGCAATGAGTTTTTGGTGGCTTCAACCAGATGCAAGCTGCTACCTGTCACTAACATGTCATCCACATAGACTAGAATTACTACAATGTCTGATCCTTGTTGTTTGATGAACAAGGAATGGTCTAGGCTACTCTAACGAAAACCAGAATGCAGAAGTTCTTCTGTCAAGTTGAGGTTCCATTGTCTACTAGCCTGTTTGAGCCCATAAAGTGATTTTACAAGTCTACAAACCATACCCTGCTCCCCCTGGCTTGTAAAACCCTGTGGAAGCTCCATATAGACTTCATCATGGAGGTCTCCCTAAAGGAAAGTATTATAGACAAATAACTGATGAATGAACCAATTATTGACAGCAGCAATAGATAGGACAGTTCTCACAGTAGCTATTTTAACCACTGGGGAAAAAGTCTCATTGTAGTCTAATCCCTCTCTTTGGTTATACCCTTTAGCTACTAGTCTATCTTTGAACCTCTCTACCTGGACATCTGCTTTCAGCTTCACTTTGTATACCCATTTGCAGCCTATAGGTTTCTTCCCTGGTGGCAGCTTGACTAGCTTCCAAGTGTTGTTCTCCTGAAGGGCTTGAATCTCAGCCTGCATAGCTTCAACCTATCTACTATCTTGAGAGGCTTGCTGGAAACTTTGGGGTTCTGTGATTGCTGAAAAGGCTTTAAGGTAGGTGTGAGCAGATGTGGACAACTTGTCATAGCTAACTACATTCTCAATGGGATATAAAATTGAGTTGGTAGATGGCTTCTGAGTAATGTAGTCTGTCATCCACACTGGTTCCTTGGTTCCTCTTTGAGATCTTCTAAGAGGAATTAAACTGTCAGTACTGCTTGTGGTTGGAAAAATCTGTTCAAAAGTATCAGTTGGCATCACTAATTCATCCATATTAGCAATGTCCTGTATGTCTTCATTATGAGCAGCTGGCTCTGCTGATGTATCCATATGTTGCAAAATTTCATGCTCAGGAATTCCCCCTGAGGTTGAACTCTCATGTGGAACTGCAGTGATAGGAACTGCCTCTGGCATTGTCACTGGATCAGCTTCAGATATACTTCCTGGAGGGGGGTTCAATACAGGTGAACATGCTGGTATTGAACCTACTGATGGTAAACAATCATTATCATTTAGGAGGAAGGGATATACTGTTTGATCCATCTCTGTATCCTGCAGCTGAAATGGGAAGATTTCCTCTTCAAAAATGACATCCCTGTTTACAAAAAACATATGTTTCTCCAGATCATATAGAATATAACCCTTGGTTACACTAGAATACCCCATAAACACAGCTTTAGTTGCTCTGCTTCTAAACTTGTCTCCCCTTGGCAAAGTAGCAGCATAGCATAGACATCCCAAGGTCTTCAAATGGCTCAAAGAAGGTTTTTTATGAAAAAAATACCTCATAAGGAGATTTACCTTCAAGAGCTACTGATGGTATCCTGTTGATCACATAGGCTGCACCAAGTATACAATGTCCCCAAAATATGATAGGAATATGTCCTTGAAATTTGAGTGACCTTGCCACTTCAAGGAGGTGCCTCTGCTTTCTCTCTGCTACCCCATTTTGTTGGGGTGTGTAGGAGCAGGTTCTTTGATGTATGATTCCCAAGGATTTGAGTAAATCTTGCATCCCCAAGTTCACAAACTCCCCTCCATTATCAGACCTTATTATCTGAACTACTGCATTAAACTGTGTTGCTATCATTTTGAGAAAAATTTTAAGCACTATGTTACATCTGATTTGAATTTCAGCAGAAAAATCCATGTTACACGAGAGTAATCATCTACTACTGTTAAGAAGTACCTATTTCCATCATAGGTTGGTGTACTATATGGTCCCCAGACATCCAAGTGCAACAATTGAAAAACTTTATTTGTTCTACTAGTACTTAAAGGAAAAGGTAGTCTGTGATGTTTGGTTAATGGACATATATCACATCTATCTATTACAGATTTGCATATCTACAATTTGTAACCTAGCAGCTTCTCTATAGCCTTTCCTGATGCATGACCCAACCTCTTGTGCCATACCATCACTTCTTCTTTGTTTCCTTGTGCTGTTAATCCCTTTGTGACTTCCCATGTTTCTGTTCCAGTTGCTTTATTTGATTGTGACACCAGTAGATAAAGGCCATCCTTCTCTCTACCAATCCCCTTCACCTCCCCATTGAAGAGGTCCTGGAACAGACAAAAATCAGGGTAGAATGCAACCAGACAACTAAGATCCCTTGTTACCTTGGACACTGACATAAGATTATATTGGAAGTCAGGTAGAAACAATACATCCTTTATTTCTTTTGTTCCTATTACTCTGCAGCTTGCTATATCTGTCACCTGTACTACTTCCCCATTTGGCAGATTTACCTTCCTAGTATTTTTGGTGTTAATTGCTCTAACATTGTTCAACAATCTTATATCAGCCACCATGTGATTAGTTGCTCCCGTGTCAATTATCCAATCTGCTTTAGCTATATCAACAAGAAATGAATAGGCATTACCTGCCATGTTGGCTGTGTTTTCCTGTTGTTGTTCTCGATTAGTATTCAAATTCAGCATCTTCATGATCTGATCATATTGCTCTGCAGTCAGCTGTGGTGCTCTAGTCATTTCTCCCTTGATGATTCCCTCAGGTTGATAAGTCCCTCCTGCATTTCCTGCAATTACATTTGGAGGATTGTTTTCAGCACAAGCATTATACGCATTGTTCATTTTCTTCTTTCCTTTGAAACCTGTAGGGTATCCAATAATCTTGTAGCATCCTTCTTTCGTGTGGCCTTTCATTTTACAATAATCACATTGCACATTCCCGTTCCTCTTTGGTTTTGGATAATTCTGATGCATATCACCTTTCCCAGCTAGAAGTGCTGCAGAATCACTTGCGTCTCTTGCTGTCATGATGTTGGCTACCGACCTTTGACTCTCTTTCTCAACCAGCATTGAATAAGCCTTGTTAATGCTTGGTGTAGGGCTAGTCATCAGAATTTGGCTTCTAGCTTGTTCATAGGTTTCATTTAGCCCCATTAGAAATTGTAAGACCTTCTGTTTCTGCATAAACTCAATGAAATTTTTAGACTTCGCACAGTCACATGGAGGTGGTACCATGTTGTCAAACTCATCCCATAGATTTCGAAGTTTTGAAAAATACACTGATACACTATCAACTCCTTGAGTAATTGTAGCTATTGCTTTATGTAGCTGATACACTCGTGAGGTGTTCACCTTATCAAATCTCTCCCTTAAATCTTCCCAAACAGCTCTAACATCCTTCGCATATACGATTCCAGTTATCAATTCCTTCGATACTGAGCTCATGATCCATCCCAACACAATAGCGTTACATCGATCCCATTGATGACCTAGTGCTGTATCAAAATCCCCCTTTTTAGAGTCCCATCGACTAACCCTAGCTTGTTCTTCCCAAGCAGCTGGATTTTCATCGCTCGACTCCAGGTGATGTAATTGTCAGAACCAGTCAATTGAATCGAAACTATCGGAGCTCCAGTCGTATCTGAAGGATGAAGGAATAACAAATGATTATGGTCCAAATCTGTCTTTGCCACCATTGTTGAATCTCAATTTTGCAGTTCACCTATCAATTGAGTTATGGAACTAGCAGAGTGTCCTAGAATCAATGTTGTGGATTCGTAATCGCGATCAATCGCTCTGATACCATATTGAAATTGATGTAAATGATGAACCCTAACACTGGGGAGAGGATTGAACAATTGAATCTAGAGAGAGAAATATTGGAGGAGAGAAATGAAACAATATTTTCTATTATCTCAACTGTACATTGTATTCTCATATACAGATATATATATCTTTGCCAACTAATCAACTACTTAAACTAATCCTCTAACTAATTAACTGATTCTAGAAGATTCTAGACTACTATGTACATTCCCATTCTCATTGTTCCGTGGAAAATATTTTCCAAGAAGTAATCTTACGCAAATTAAGGAAAATGACTTCTCAAGAATATTCATAAATAATTTAGATATAATAAAACATGAAGCCATAAACTTTCAAACCAACAACCTTCCGAACCCACATTTTTCATAAACTTTTGAACCGCTAAACTTTCGAAACCGCAAAATTTCTAACTCGTAAACTTTATAATTTTTAAACACATAAACTTCCAAACTCATAACTTTGGAACTTGTAAAATTTTCAACCTTTAAACCGATAAATAAAAAGACTAAAACTGAAAAATATATTATTAACAAATATTTTTTTTTCGGGGGGGGGGGGGGGGGGGAGGGAGGTTGGGGGCAGAAAAAACGAAAAAAAATAGAGTTTGAAATTACAAAAAAAAAAGTAAAGGTTTTTTTTCGTTGGGGGGTGGGGGGGGGCAGTTGGGTGGGTGGGTGGTGCAAAAAAAACGAAAAAATAGAAACTTGAAATTGCAATAAAAAAAAAGTTAAAAAAAATATATATTTTTGCAGGAGGGGGTGGGGGTGGGGGTGGGGGTGGGGTGGAGGGGTAATAGGGTGGGTGGTAGCAGAAAAACTGAAATTTTTGAAAAATAAAAAAAAAACCTTTTTTGGAGAGAGGGGGTGGGGTGGGTTGGTGAGGGTAGGGAAAGTTGAAAATGAGATTTATAAAATCTTTTCCCTTCTCTTGATGAGGAAAATATTTTCCTCCAATTGGAGGAAAATGAGTTCATAAGGAAAATATTTTCCAAAACATTTAAGCCAACCAAATATGGAAAAATTGGAAAATATTTTTCGGAAAATGAATTCTTTCATGCCAAACACACCCTTTTATCTCTTTTTTAAACGCCCCACTTAATTAAGTTTCGCTAACGGGAATAGTAAAGGTGAATTTGAGTGGAGAAAGTATTAATGCTTCTTGTGTTTTCAAATGTCTAGTATTTTGAACCAAAATTTAATTTTTCAAAATGACAAGTATTTGGAACCAAAGAAAGTAGGGGTACTTTATATGGACCAAGAACATGGACGGTCTTAGCGCCAAGTTGTTGGAATCTAACAAAGAGCATAACGAGTTTGTAACATTTGACTCTCTCTATAAACTAACAATAGCCGATAAAAGCATAATATATGCATGACTTATGATTATGCTATTAAATGAAACTTTGGGTCGAAAACTCAGATTTGTTATATCTTCTTTATATCTACATATTAAGCTTGATTGTGCTTTTCTTTCTCTTTTATAAATGATATGAGCAGGAATGGTGCGGATGTGCGTGGTTATTTCATATGGAGTTTAATGGATAATTTTGAATGGGTATTTGGTTACACGATTAAATTCGGGCTTTATCAAGTTAATCCTCTTACGTTGGATCGAAGTCCAAAACTATCGGCTCACTGGTATAAAGATTTTCTCACCAATAGTAGCCTCAACAATATACAAGCAAAGAAATCAATATATGGAGTTTAGGTTTTTTTTTTTACTCCTTTGGCCATTCTGTTAGATTTTGAGTTGTTTTGGAAGTATTAATAGATTTTATTTTTGTAAAATTGTGCATGTATTTATTTGATTTTGGAAGAATATATATGATTTAGAAAATACTTGTGTTCGGATTCAAATATCTTTCGAAATTATTGAATTGTAATTTTCATTCCAATTTATGAATAGATCACTAAAGTTATAAAATATTGTAAAGGCTTTCAAATGAATATATATATATATATATATATATATATATATATATATATATATATACTAGTTTCGCTTCACGTGCGTTGCACGTGTATACCAAATCATAGAATATGCATGAAATAATAAAATATAATTTAATGTAATGATAAGAGTGGATCGTCGTATGGTAATTTTTTGCCCTCTTCACTAATACTATGCATCAATATATTCAAGTTCATGTATCTCTTGAATAACTAACTCCTTCATATTTTCCTTTTTCTTATCAATCTTAACAATGATAGTGAATTATTAATATTTACTCTTTTGTATAGCATTGGCAAGACGAATACCATTGCTCATCTTTAACCTATAATATGAATCAAATACATAAAATTTAAATTCAAGTATAATGCTAAATATTACTCTTTCCTTCATAATACACTTGATGCATTTTAACTGGGCATGGAGTTTAAC